ACCTGTAATGGATATATCAGGTAAAGGACTTCAGTCTTTACCCAAGTACAGCAGATTTGTGGTAAAATATCTGTTCATATGCACATATACATATGAAGAGAGAGAGTCCTTATTCATGTGTCTCTTGACAGAGGGTCAGCAGAGACAATAACAGTTTTTCATAAATAACAATGAATTAATTACCCTAGGAAAAGAAATTTTGGTGATGCTTGGTTGTTCTATTATTTCTTTACATATTTATGTGTGTTATTTCTAGTATATTGTGAGACCTTCAGGGGTTTTGGCTGACAGCTTTGTCCTCACTTACTCCAGTGTGATCCATCAGCTTCCCTGGTACTGAACCAATTGTCCTGGGCTGACTTTATGGCTTTACACCTGAGCATACCACTAAACAAATATTAGTTTCCATGCTTTGTTACACAGATGTGATGCAGAGCAGAAATAAACTGATCCTCAGGCCAAACATGTGGTATGGATTGCAATTACAAAGATCAGTAATGAGGACAACACCCTTCACTTACTCCAGTGGTTTCTGGTAAATCCTCCTTTTTCCTCCTCTGTAAAAAATAAAAATAAAAATACTATTAAATACTCCACTCCTCTTCATATCCTAAGCAGTGAACCAGTAACCACAGATGTTTAATAGAATTGGTGAAAATTTACACTATCAATCACTTTTTTCTTGAGAGAGGAAGGAGTGTTTTGGTTCTTGCCAGACACAAATGTGTCAAACTCTGCTGCTGCCATGTGCTGCCCCAGTGACTCTGCCAGCACATTCATTAAGAGCTGCTGCCTGAAAAAGTGAAGTCTTGATGCATGTATGAGGTTTTGGACTTTTTTTCTCTCTTTGGATAGGTTTTAAGCTAACCACAGTTTCCTGTGCAACCTGACCTCCATGTTTCCAGCATACCCCAGTGTCATTTCCGTGTGACTCAGATCTGGGCTGGTGTTTGCAGCCTGGCTTTCCCCTTGGGCCTGACCCACAGTGCCAGCATGCACCTGGGAGTGAGGTCCCTGCTCCTGGTGCTCCAGCCACCTGGTCTTCACTGGTACACAGCAAAAGGCTGTCAGAAGTCTGACAACAATAGCACAGGAATGTGCTATTTGAGGCTCTGGGACCTGTTGTTTCAAAATGTCATGGAGATAAATAAATCAGCAAGGTTCGTATCTGGGTTCAGTGTTATATAAAAACAAGACTATTGAGGAGTAAATAATCAAAACATTATTTGGAAAGGTTGCAAAGTACCACGTTTTGAAGATTTAAACCAGTCATCATGAACAGGCAGGATGTCTCTATGGGGAACTATTTATCCTGACCAAAGTTTCTTGCAAGTGCTCCCAAACTACCACTGTTAGGGTCAGCCTATAGGGTCCACTTAAGCTGACCACTGGCCTGATTGATTTTTAGGTGCCAAGATACAGAAAATAATATTATGTCAGAGGTTAATCCATGACACATAATAGTGACCACAATGGATGTGACAGACATGATGTACAATTGCAGCAGAGAAAGCAAAACCATTTTCATGAAAAATAGAATGTGCTAACCAAGAAATGCCTCAGTCTTTGCAGCATTTCAGAGAAAATATCTTTGACATCCTGCCTGCACCCATTTCACTCATATATGGAGTGAATAGTTTAAGACACCTTATCTTGTCTCACAATCTCAGGTCAAAAGGAAATCACCCATTGAAGGAAAAAATTATGAAGATGATTTGAGCACTTTTGAAAGGTGCTGTGCTGGCATGCCTGTGCTTTGGTATCCAGAAAGCAAGCACATTTCCCTACACTGACATGGTGTTATTCCTTGCTCTGGTCCCAAAGGACTGTCCCACCTGAGGGTGAGAGTTTTGGCTGAGGAGATCAGACAGCACCCACAGCAGCCCAGGATGTGACAGATCATCCTGTCCCCAGACTGAACCTGCACAGGCTCCCATCACCTCCTGGGCAACTGCCAGGTAACAGCCCCCTCTGTTTGGGCTGGACAGCTTTAGCCTCATGACCCAGGGAACTGTCTGTATCCCACTGTTTGCCTTGAACCAAAACTCTCTCCCTGCCCAACTACCACAGGCACTCCCCCAGTGCCTGCTCAGCCGCCCTGCACTGCGCGGGGGCTCTCAGTGCACCCTGACACCCAGCTGATTTGCACAGCTGTTGGCCTCTGCATTTGATGGTCAGCAGCATTCAGCATTCTGTCTCGTCCTGGTGACCTGCCCTCTGCCAGGCTGTAGCTCCAGGGTGGAGCTGGAGCCCTACAATGATGTTTCCTCAGCAGGGAGCCACAGAGGCTGCCAGCTCCTGGAACCCGAGAACTTGGCAGCGCTGGCCATCCCCCACGCATGGCTGAGGCACCTGCAGCCCCACCAAACAAGGCCTGGTGAAAACACCCTAGCCTGTCCTGAGCAGCAGGGTGGGTCTAGATAAATGCCAAAGAACAGAAGTGCAGCTGCAGCTCAAGTACAGAAAATACATTCTGCTTATTGTTACAGCTCTCAGTGACATCAAAGCATCAGCTCTTTACTCCAGCCCTCATCTGTGCTTTTGTGCTGTCCTCATCTTATCTATAAAGGTGTTAAACAGATTTTCCATCTCACTTTGTGGTTTTGACACTTGTAAAACAGGTGTGGTTTTTCCTGGAGCTGTGATCTCCAAACACAGCTCAAGGAGGATAATGATGCTTAGTTTGGAGATCTGGGTCTACCTGACTCAGCCACATTGATTCATGTTGTGTAGCCCTGTTGTAGCTTGTATGTAGCAAGCTACTTTTTTACTGTGAAAGAATCTGTCCTCTTTTAGGCTTAAGGTGGGAGTTTTAACAGCCATTTAAGTCTGCTCTTAAGGAATGAGTGATCTCTCACTTCAGTGGTGAAAAAACTCCTCACAACTTCACTCTAATTTACTCATTCACATCAATTTTGAAGATTATCTGGACTATCATACTTACATTATAATGAAAAGTAAGTAGCACTTACTACTTGATAAAAAAAAAAAAAGCTAAGCAAGAACAGAAACAGAAAAATATTTTTTCTGTCGTTTTGCCTTTAATAATATCTCTTTCCAGAATATACTTGTAACTTACTATTGCACTGTCTGTTTACCAGCTCAGTAGACAGAGTACAGGAGTCTGCTGAGTTAGGTAAGTGTACAGTTATTTTTAACCCAGTTAAACATTACATGTTCATATGGCATGTTGTGCAACAGATATACACTGGTGTCATGACATTCTGTCCAGACACTTGTTCTAAATTTAGCTCTAAATTTAACCTGAGATGTAGGGCAAATAATTAAATGTCAGCCCTGTGCACCAAACCTCTTGCTTTGTGATTTGAACTTAAAAGAGGCATAAACCTCTGCTCTTCTCTGGTTGCATGCTCAGTCAGTGCAGGACAAGGAAGCTTTCTCCATGGCAATATAAAGGACAGTTCATTTGACCAGGGCTTCAGGGATTGTATTTATTATACAAATTTGACAGCACACAAAACCGGCACTGGGTAAATAGAGAGGCTGGTGCGGTGTCCTTTAGCACAGCCTATTCTGGAGCCTCTGCTGCTCTTGTCTGCACGCAAACACCCATGTCCCAGACCTGGTCGCCTCATCAGGGGAGTGGGCCAGCACAGCAGGATCAACGTGGAGGACAACCTGTCCCCTTGCTGCTCAGTCTCTGAGCTCCACAGCAGCAGAGTCCCTTCCAGTTGATTTGGTCAGCAGCAATCTCCAGCATCCATCCCAAGGCAGGCTGGAGCCCATCTTTCTAGTGCCCAACTCCTGCACCTTTCCCATAGGGCTGTGCACAGGAGGGTCCTGCTCTGCCTTGCTGCTCTGCTAGTACCTGCCTCAGCTTCACTCCACACAGGAACCTGCAACTCCTTGGACTTCATTTTGGTAAAAGTTATGGACATTACTGCAAGCTGCTGAATTTAGGCAGGGACATTTTTTTGTTTTCTGAGGTCTGTTTATCTGTGGCAAGAGTAAAGCAAAGACAGATCCATATGCAGAAAGCCTCTCATGTTGTTGCAGGAAGGGAAGGGGAGCAATACAATAGGTCTTATTGCATACAGCAGGCACAGTAGTTAAAACCAAATCAGTCTGAAAGGAATTAGAGGGTACTACAGAAAAGCTTCAAGAGAGACTTTGTTCATAAACTATCCTAAGAGACTAAACAGAGGTAAACAGCCATTGCATATATCCAAGGATTTCTTTTAAAAACCTATGAAAAAGTTATTTTCCATAAAAATTGGTTTTCATCTTTCCATCAATTTGGAGACACTATTTTTCCCAGGACCCTTGCTATTCACAGCAGCTTGTGTTTCAGGTTGCCATTCCCATCCTCCTGCTCCCCTGCAGGAGCCTCAGAGCCCTGGGATTGCAGCAATATCTCTGAATTTTGTGGATTTTGTAAAGGTCAAGGTAAAGGCAAGTCTTTCATTAGAATTCTTACTAACGTACATTATAACATAAGATAAATGATATTTGCACAGCAAAGAGAACTAAATGATAATGTTTGTGATTTCACTCTTCCTCCAAGGAACATGCATTTGTTTATACAGTCTTTGGGTTGTGTTCACATCATATTCGATTTTCATGTTCCCTCTGACTGGTTCTTCTTTCAGGTTGAGTCAGTGGATGTGACCTTATGGTGACATTTGCAGTGGCATTGACTATAGTAGCTGTACACTCTTACAAAGCTCACTGGCAGGGCTGAGTCATTGGATACCTGAAAGTGGTCTTAGGACCTGGGTACTGGGTGTTCCCCTTTGTGCTCATGTCACATTTCCAGAGGAGTAAGGACTTCATTTTGATTAGGTTTGAAAGGGAAGAATTTTCTGTGGGGAGGAGCTACTGTGCAGAGGTAGAAGTCATGCACTGAGGCAAAGTGTGATTCAGGGTGTGTGTCAGCAGCTACTGAAGTTGAATAAATTCCTCCTGAAAGGGGAAATAGAATCTTAGTAGCGTGATCTCAAAACAGCTACATCTTTCCATCAAAGAAGTATTTAGGCAGCAAAGTGAGTAAGGAATAATGTATATCATATTCATTACCCCTAGGCATGCGAGACATCCTGCACCTTTTCCCATACAAGTTCCTCTGGCTCCTTGCCTCTCTCAGGGTATTGTAGCCAAAGCAAAGGAAATTGAAACCATCTTTTCTTGTGGGAGTTTTTATATTCTCATTATTTGAACGTGGATTGTGTAGCAGGAGGCGCAGGAGAGGCGCTTGTGGTTCTGGTGTTGGCAAATTTTAAATCTTTGGGGCTGTCTGATGGAAGCACAGCATGGCAACACTGAATGCAAACCTCTGCTCACTGGATATGATTGTAAAGGGTGTGTACTCTAGCTCTATTCTCTCAGAGAAATGTGCCACTCAAAATATCTTGCTCTCTTTCTGCAGGAAAAACTTCAGACCAGATCTAAGTAACAAGCCAGCAGTTAGAGGTAATTGGTGCACAAAGACATACACTGTTCTGAGGCAAGGTATTATGAGGATTTTCTGTGCAGGAACTGTTACTACCAGAACTAGTCAGTATTTTCTTCCTTGCAGAAGAGCCACACATGTGCCAAGTGTTTGGATGCAGCAGAGTTAGTCACCATTGGCAGATACAGGCTATGGACAAGAGCTTGTGCTGATGCGCATTCTCACCTGCGCCTCACCACGTGGAGGCACATCTGTGGCAGCTCTGCACACAGAGGGAGTCAGTAACGAGCTCACTGCTCTCCTGGGATGCACAAACAAACTTTGTTTTTTCCTCCAGCCTCAGCTGCCAGATTCAGCTGTGTAGCTTGGTAGAGCTGAAGTGATGTAGAGCTTAGTAGAGCTTAGTAGTGATGACAGGATAATTAATTCAGCTAATGGAAGCAGAGACGAAGGAAAGAAATTTTAAATGTGCTTTTCTAACCTGGCTTCTTCTGGCTATTTTGAGGAAATATGAAGGAGAAAACAATCTTGCTGATTATTTTTTCGTTTGTTTTCACATGGTCATCCTTCTTTTCTTCTCCCAGATTCAAATCTCTTCTGCTGTGCCTTGCTTTTGAGACCCTAGCTGACTCCCCCCATCAGCATGAGTTGGCCATTTCCATCACTTCTATTTAAAGGAAGTGAATAGATCTAATATGCAGTGTCTAAGATTGAAATCTGTCCCAGAAAATAGTGAAAATTTACATATTTATTTTTGCAGGTGACATTTGTAATGTATTAAAATCTCTCAGAGTCAAGCTGAAAATGCAGATCTGTAACTTTGCATGCCCCAGGGGAAATATTAGCCAATCTGATGCAATGCTAATAAATCATAATTGTTATTATTGTGCTTTGGATGTGTTGTAATAAAGCCACAATATTGTTTTATTGGGGAAAAAAATCAACTCCCAAATGTATGATTTCATTTCTGTACAGTATTATTTCTGTAATTAAAATTCAAACTTATATGAGGTTGTCCTCTGAGGATTTCACAGATACTAATTAAATAAGGTCTTATTCAGCAGTCTCTATCCATATAAGTAGTCCTGTTGGCTTCCCATCTGCAAGGAATTTTGGACTGTTCTCTGAAGTTAATGCATTTGATTATTTCCACTTCACTAATGTAGAAAATGATACACAGAGGAGTTAAATGATTTACTCAAGACAAAAGGGAGAGCTAATGGTATCTGAAAATAGATCTTCTGAAGCAGAGTCCCGTGCTTTTATTGGAAAATGTTGCATCAGCATTCATAGCAGCTTCAAATACATCAAGGGTGCACAGAGTTTTGCAAGGAAGCCCAGAAACGTGGGAGGGAAGGGAGCTGCAGTGTGCCTGCTGGGAGTGGCATGGGGAACCACCTGCAATGTTCACAGCCCATGGAACCTCAAGCCCCAATGTCTTTTCATAATCAAACAGGCCATCCTGGAAAACCAGACACCTTTGCCTTTGCAAAGCATGAATCTGCATCACAGTATCAGCAATTTTTCTTGAGTTCAGATCAAGGGTGAGAGACTGCCAAAAAGCAAGCAGAAGGGTTAAATGTGGGAGATGCTCATGGTTTTAAGCCAAGGCTAGTTACAATCTTGAAATAGCATCAAGGAAAAAAAGCATTGGGTGTTGTTTAAAAGTCACAGAGGGTTGGCTGACATCTTGTCAAGGGTGTAAGAGTTTCTCACACTCTTGGTGATGATATTCAGGGCTCCTTTTGTCTGTCACTGTAACTGCTGAATGACTTTAACTTTGGACAGAACAGTTCCAGCACTAGTTATGAGGGGCAGATTGTTTTTCAGACAGCAGGGAAGGAAGATGTATCATGTACTCACCATGATATCATGCTGGAGCAAGATGGCTTCAGGACCAAGCATGGAGAGGGAATGATGCTGGTCCTGAAAGACTCTAAAAACAAAGCAGATGAGTTGAAAGGAATCATATATTAGTGGATAATATAGTCTTGCTACGTTTTTCCCTTCAGGATTGCTCTTGCTAAGCCTTAGATGGGGGTGTTTGTGCATTGACAGGGTGCCTTCAGTGAACCTGAGCATCCACAAGGTACTCAGAAAGGATTCCAGACCCACTTCCATCTAGGCTTTATTCTCGGTGTGTGCAGTGTTTTGCCATGGGAATGAGTGAAAGAGGAGCTGAAGGAAAATGCATAGGCATAACTTTGATATCCTGTTATGGTTTCCCTTCATTCATTGTATTAGCTGGACAAACCCATGGAAACCTTCCCAAAGTGAGCACATTATTCCCATGATCCAGACTATCCAAGGGTCAGTTCTCCTATATGTGCCTGACTCTTTTCTTCTAACGCATCCCTGGAGCAGTGCTATCTCCTCCTTGGCCAGCTTGCCTTCTTCAGGATGTGGGGAAGATGGGTACCACTTCACATTTATGGCCTTGAGGACTCTGAGAGAGTCTGTTGTTCACATTTAGGTGCTATGAGAGCAGTCTTTTTCTACTAGTAAGCTCTTACAAATACTACTTGGAACAGGTTCACAAGTGCTGTTGTCATCTTTTGGAATCCTGAAGTCTCCAACTTGCAGCCTTAAAAACATATGAACAACTCCAAGACATCAGTAAATGCCCAGTAATGTTTGGTTGTTTTGTTTAAAAAGCATCAGCTAAAACAAAAGTAAATGGAGGTCACTTCTCTCCAAGCAAATAAAACTCTCCAGGACAGCATATCTTACTTGAAAATTATATGGCAATTTTTTTTTTCTTCTTTAGGTTCCAGAAACATATCCATATATGGTCTACTTGTCAGGGACAATAAATAATGATGTAATAGAAAGGTCAGCTTTGTGTCATTTAGCTCCAGGATGTTGATGAAGTGAAGTTCTTCAGATAATGCAACAAAGAAGAACTTCAGGATTGGTACAAGTTTCTGCTGTGCATCTTCAAACAGGAAATCTGAGATTGGGAGCAACTTATATTTTGGCTTGTATTCGCTGATCATGGGGTGATCCAGAAATAAACTCCAGGCTTCAAAGTGAGTGTGTTTCAAAGCTGTCCTGCAGTTGATCGAAACATCCAGGCAAAGCAGGGAGACAAATACCAGCGAGGATTTTCTGAATTAAGACTTAACCAAGGAGATAACCCATTTCAACACAATTATTACCCTTTTATTTCAGAACAAAAAGGTAATGCAAATATGCATGTTTTGAACTTATTTAGTACTTTCAATCTCTCAGTTCATTATGTCTATGCAAATATTTATTCCTACAGCAGTTTGTAACCTAACACTCTAACAGTCTTGGGAGCTTTGTGATTTGCTTTTGTTTGTTTTGGTCTTTGATATTTTTTTCAAATATGCCATAAAACACTGTCTGTTAAACAGAACAGTAACTCTGTCATTTCCTTATTTTTCTTTTACTCGCAGGTGGTGCCTGTATCTTTGTCCCTAGAATATCTTGCTCAGAAATAAATTCTGTAGCTACAACATACTAAGGTAGAATGTAGCATGCAAGGCACAGTGTGAAAGAGAAAAATTACATCAGCAAATAATTGCTTTAATTTTTAAATTTCTAGTTGGCTTGACATGAAGATAATATTGTGCTAATTTATGTGTTAATTAATATGTTCTGAGGAGAAATAAAAGCTTGCAGGTATATGATTTCCAGTGAAGAATTTGTGCAGAATCGTGATTTGGTGGCATCAGGGCATATGCCATACTGATAGGTGACCTGTTTTGACAGCTGGGGCTGAACATGGGGATTTGTTTGCTCAGAGGATTCCTTCGGGAAGCCTGGCTTTGCTCCTTCAGCACTGGGCTAGAACTTGAGTGGTTTGCATAAACTGTCACTACAAAGGATCCTTGCCTGTTGCCGCAGCAGGGCAGCGTGAGGTGTCATCCTTCTGATGTCTCAGCTCCGGCAGAGCTAATAGGCACTGAAATCTTTCTGGTTTTAAAAAAAATTATTTGCTTCCTTGTAACAGCTATCCAATATAATACCCTTGGAAAACTGCAAAGGTTTATCAGGAAACTGATCTGAAATGCAGCAAAAATGCAAGCACTTTACGTGCTGCAAGTCGGTCTGGTTTCCATTGCCCACGGAGGATCTGTCCTGAAAGGTGCCACAGTAAGAACTGAAGTAAGGCTCAGTTTGCTGGGAAGACATCCAGCCTCTTTGCCTTCCCCATGTGTGCTCCTGCTGCTTTCAGAAGTAAAGACTAACACGTGGAAAGGCAAACACGGATCTGCAGAAGCAGGAGCACAATCATTCCTCGCAGAAGGCAAAATTATGAAGCTGCTCCTCTTCTCTCTCTCTTTTGCAGCCTCCAAAGGCTTGGTTATGTTTTCACAAATGTGGTTTATTGCACCCTGAGCCATAAATAACAAGGTTCTGTATTCAGTTACAAGCTGACTGGAATAAACTCAGCGCAAAGGCAGGCACAGTCTGGCTCTGTTCCCTTAATGACCTTGTCACTTATCTGCCATGCTTCTCTGACACAAATGAGTAATTCTGTTAATTCTGCTGCCTGGGATCTATTGGGGGGGGGTGGGGGCAGGCAGCCTCACTGCCAATGGCTCCAAGCACTGGGGGGGGGGGGGGGGGGGGCAGGCAGCCTCGCTAAGCTTTTCTTTAAAGAAGTGCTATCAACGGGGACCAGTTGTTTCAAATGCTAATGGTATTGAATTGCACGGTTCTGCATGTTCAAAGCCAGCCGTAATCCTTGTTTATTTATGTTGCATCAGGGATCAGAGACCCATTCTCCTAAGCACTATGTTGACAGAGCTTGTAGTCCGAACATAATAGCAACCTAATTGTGTTTGTCTCTGGCTTTTGCCATCATGTAGGTGATTACTAGTAGTCCCCCTTGTGAGCAGTACCTTTGGTTTCAGAGATCTACCAGGCACAGCTGCTCATCAACGCAGGTTAGGAGGTCAAAGCATGGTCCTTGCACAAGTATTTTATTTTCAACATTACCTTCTGGTCGCTGGATGCATCTAAGTTGCCTCTGTATGGCACAGGCCTGATTACACACCTGAATTAACAAACTTTCACTGAAATCAGGATGGCAAAATTAATATCAGGATCAGACGCTATGTGGAAATGGTGGTAAGTTTAGATTCCAGAAGATCTTGCCAGACTGACTTATTAAATGGCAGCACAGACAGCAGAATTCCAAGACATGTCTCTGCCAAGAGAGATCACTGGTGAAGCCATCAAACCTGAAAGGAACCCAGGTTCTGCTGTCCCAGTAGATGCTGTGTGCTACCTGCTTGTGAAGATGGCCTCTTGGGCTGCCAGAGAAATGCAGAGTAGAGCCAAATGTTAAAACATTCCCCCAAAACCTGAAGTTAGGATGAAGAATAGACACATCATTTAACTTTTAAATCTAATTCCAATACTTTAAACCTACAGTAAACTGGTGTAGAGCAAGGAAATATTCAAGCTGCACTTAGAAAGACCACTTTGGCCAGATCTTATAATCCAGACTTGTTCAAATATTTCTAGCAACAAAGATTGATTTTTTTTTTTTTCACACCTTCAATACAGAAGGTGGAAAATATTTAGCTTATAGCACATTAGCCTAGTGAGCTTTTATAAGTCTGTGGTTGGCAGTTCACTGATGGCCTCAGATGGGGTAAACTTAGCCCTGCTGTGTCAGCTGAGCCAGGCCACTGCCAGGTGATGCCACTGAGTTTGGCCTCAAGGAAAGAAGGGTAAACTGAATTAGGCTGTGGTGCATTAGCCTCCAGCTAAGGGCATGTGCTCACCCTGTTATTGCAGCTCAGCTGTCTCACTGCAGCTTCTTCCAGACATAACTCAGACCAGTGCCCCTGTCCTGTTGTCCTGCAGCTTCAAACAAAAGCATCCTCAGGTGGAAGGGGAGGGTGGTGGCTCTGCTGTGTTCTGCTCTGCAGGGAGATGTAGGGAAGAGGCATGACCCCAGACTCCTGCCAAACTCAGTCAGCACACAGGCAAACTGCACACACACACTTGTCTGAGCAAGTGGAGACAGCAGGGACAGCTTCAAGCCCAACTAGAACAGTCTCTGCAGGGGCTCAGGGCAGCCAAGGCTGTCCCTGGCTCTCAGTAAGGACCCAAAAGCTCCTGCAGCCCAGGATGTGACCCCCACACCTTCATCGTGTTTGTGCAGTGCGATGGGCAGAACAGAAAGCTTTCTCTATTTTGAGCCCTACGAAGTTTCTCCCTGCAGGATGAGTCAGTGATGGGAGCTGCAGCCAACACTGTTGTTTCTGCACTCTATGGAACTCTTGTCAAAATATTTAGATTAGCGAGGCTCACCAACACGCAGGAGAGGTTCTCCCTTTTCTCTGCGAGTCGGTTGAACCCAGTTAACCCCTACAAAGGATAAGAGGATGAAATAGGAGTGATTCCCACAAATCTAAAATCTTCCCTTTTGCTCCCTTTGCCTTAAGAATATGTGAAACAAAAGGAGAGAGGGGAAGAAGGTCCAGAAGTGGTCTTTACACCTGGATCCATTTGGGAGGTAGTGAAGCAGCTATCAGTTAGCTGCTCTGTGCCAGGCTGGGGAGCTATGTTGGCAGGGGTGTCCTGTACAGTACCTAAAGCCCAGGCTCCCACAGAAGGCACTGCAACACCAGCTCAGATCAGCAGTGATGGATTCACTGCCATCAGAATGATGGCAATGGGACTGGGAGGATACAGAGGAGGGATCTGTGTCCCAGCCTGCACTGGAGCAGGCTGCCCTCAGAGGGGAGCAGTTTCATCTCCATTCTTGCCTTCTCCAAGGATTCATTGTGCATCACCTCCATTAGGAGCTTAAGATCAGATCCTGCCCTCCCTGCTGACGGCTTTGTTTAGGTTTCTGAGTCACCACTGGGGCCAGGTCCCTACATTCAGGCATTGCACTGCTGGATGCTGCAGACGACTGCTGGATGTTCCTGCCAGCTCCAGCCGGTGGTTCCACACATCTGCAGCTCACCAGGCACCACGTGAGTTCCTAGGCTAGACTGTGGGAGTACTGCCCAGCGTGCCAGGGGCTGAGCAAGCCCAACAGCAGCAGAGCATCTGGACAAACAAAGCTGTGTCATGGTTCCTAGCCAGCTGCTGGCTGGAGAGCAGCCAAAGGCAGGTACTGGAGCAGCGGGGGCACAGGGAGGCTGCCAGCAGGGTGATGTCTGGGCTTGGATCTTTGGGACAGCAAGGGTCATAGCAGAGCTGAGGCACCAACTGGAAAAAGGAAGCAACAGCAGTCGTGAGAGGTCTTGCTTAAAAGAAAGGGAAAAAAACCCCGAGAAATTTTTAAAAACCCACCAAAACTGGGTTGCATTATTTACAGCAATTGAAGGTTTTATTTTGGCATTTTTCATGGCTGTAAAATACATCCTTTGTTGTTGAAAGTCAAAATGTCAGTCTGAAATCTGCTGGGCTTCCCTTTAACCTGGAGTCTTCCCACTTTTTCTGGAGTGGGCTTAGAGCCTGAAGTGGGAAATGTCACCATGTCTGAAGTAAAAAGCCTAAATCCAAGATTTTAAGTTACTTGATTGATTCAAGTTCTTACAATTTCTTCAAACTATATTTGGGGAGCTGCCATTTCCTCCAGGTCAGGACTGTCTCTTGGCTGTGCACACAGCAGCAAGGGAGGCAACAGCAGGGCACTTTCCTGCTGCTGTGAGGCTTGTGGCCTGCTGGACCCCTCTGGTTTGAGTGTGAGTGTCCAGGAAATCAGGCTGAGCTGGGTGCTTGGTGGAGAGAGCAGCTGTGCAGGGCAAGGGAGCTGACAGCTGCCCTGAGGCTCCTGCTGAGGCAGCTCCTGAGCAGTGGGAAGTGGGGTGCTCTGCTGTCCCCACGTTCATGGCTCTACTGGCTGGCCCAGAGCAGCAGGAGCTGATCCTGGGCAGAGCAGGGCTGTGAGGAGCTGAAGGCCAGCCCTGCTGTGGCACTGATGGGACAGGGTGGGGACAGGCAGCTTTCCTGGTAGCTCCCCTGCTGCACTCAGTCAGCCCCTCACCTCCCTGCCCCT